TTCCACATCCTTATAAATGCGCTCAAATTTCATGCAAATGACTAAAATAGTTATGTTTATTTGTTCGGCACCTTAATGAGTCCTTGTCTTTCAAACAGGTTCATTGAAGCTAAGCGTATACGAGAAAAGGTAACCTAAAACTTTTTTTTTTCTCACGCTATTTGATTATGTTTATTTATAATTTTAAGAATTACATAAAGTTGATATAAAATAGGCCAATGGGCCTTAAAGCTTAAGCCCGAACAATGAAGGCCCTCTTAGATCAGATCCAGTCCAGCCCATGACCATAACCTTATCACCAGAAATCCACAGATGACCAACGAGGAGACAACACGTGGCCTTATCGCATTGGGAAAGGAAGTTGCGCATGACCATCCCAGGGCACGTGAGAGTGAGAGATATAAGAGGAAAAACACATGTAATATAGACATTATTCACTCTTTTTTTTTTTATAAAAGTCGAGTAGACCCGTTCCATTAAACCAGAAAATAGTACATAGAGATATAACAAAACTTGACACAAGTCAAGTGTATATGTTCCAAGACTATTACAGAGATGGAACAGAAATATCCTCCAACATGAGGATTAAAACAAAGGCTTGTAATAGTACCTAAGGAAAACAAATCCAAAGGAATAAAGGCAAACTGAAACATAACAAGCCTTGAGCAACCTCCCACCAGGGAGGAAAAGAACAGTAGATCCTGAGAGGGAAAGAGCTGCAGATTCTGCAATAGGGCGAGGAGATCGTCAACACCGACGTGATAACAAAGATTGTTGTAACGTCCATGGTTTATCACGAAGAGCACTCCTGGAAAACTGTACAAAAACATAAACAAGTTGCTTAAAAAGCAACAGAGATCTACCACTTTATTAAAGGCTAAAAGAAAAGCAAAGAAAAGAAGCATAAAAGGATTGCCGCTGGGTAGATCCCGAACGGCAGCCTGAAGCAGTTGAACAGATGAAGATTTCGATCGAGAGAGAAAAGGAAAAGCGGTGGTGGAAAGGATAAGAGAGCCTAAGTGACTAGGCATTATTCACTCTTGTAACCGACACTTTTAACATTCAATAAAAAAAACATTCTTTTCTCTTTGGTTCGTCCTTCGACGGGTAGTCTGAGTATTTGTTTTGTATCGAAAGTATTACTTACCATTCTTGAATGAAACCCAGTAAGTACGGATGAACCCGATTTTATTAAATTAATCCTTTTATCCTTATCTAAAAAAAATTAAGTTCACCCACATGAGTTTTTGTAGATTCAATTGTAAATTGAAACTTTTCAGGTAAAATGCATGTTTGGTCATTAAACTCACCTATAAATTTGATTTTCGTCACTAGACTAAACTTTACTGGATTGTTGTCACTATACTTTTTGAATTTGAATCATGTTGGCCACGTCAGCTTGGTTGGGACCCGTTTTACCTTGTGGCTTACTTCCACTAGCCATCACACGGGTTGCGGGCCCTACACGCCCGTCCCCAGCCCATCAAATCCAGATCAATGCAAAACCAGACCCATCCGCAGCTGGAACGGGTCGACCTTAACCCCGAACACAGCAATCAACCAAACACCCCCAAACCCACCGACACAATAAAAAGACCAAAACCTTTATTTCTCAAACCCGTAATCCTAATTTAAGCACTTACCCCTTCACTATGATTTCCTATTTTCATCTCCTCCTTTCTGATTTTCCTTCTCCTCTTCACCGCTCTTCCTCTTCTGTGATTTTCCTTCCACACATCTCCTTGTCTCTCACGTTGCTTCCTCCTGACGACAATGGTGTTTGATTAATGGCGTCATAGGGGTCATGCAACTCATCAACTAAAAGCGTTGATGGTGACGAGAGAAAAATGTTGCAACTGGTGTCGTACGGGTGCAGAAGCTAGATTGGAACTATGAGGGGCCTCCTATGTATTGCCATTGTGGTCGGTTTACACCCAGATGGATTTCTTAGACCGACTTGTATCCAATTAAAAAAAATTAACATTTACTTTGGAAACCAACTCTCTCACTTGTTTCTTCTTTTGATACGACCCAAGCCCACGAATATTCCAAGATAAAAAAAAAAAAAAATTTAACATAGTTGATGGCAAGTACACTAACACATATAGATACTGGTCAATTGAGTGCCCTAGAGCCCCTCTTTGTCCACTACCTTCCCAATTTCCTTTTTCACTGCATTGCCATGCTCATTAACCTCCCAACCGATCGCCTTCCCCACATCCATCGTCTTTTGAACTTTAGTCGACTCGGAGGACGCCCTGTGGGAGAGACAATTCTTCTTCCTCCGCCCTGTCGTTACTAGTAGCTACATCCTCATCCTAGGTGCTACTGTCGCCAGTTTACAGGGATCGGACACTACCATTCTTAGTCAACTTTTTTAGCTTTTTAATCCTCGACCAACGACTTTGCATTCTCCAAAATTTTGAAGAGTCTGGCTTCCAGAATTCTTAAGTTCCTACTATCTTGGCCTGTATGAAACGCATGGCGTATTTAGAGATGAATTAGACACAGGCTGCATGGCTCTGCCAACTCATTACTTAGGCCATCCAACTTGATGCTTTCCTCTTCCAAGCCCAGACTTATTTCTTGGCCCATTTGTATTGGGTTGCCTTCACATGGTACTACTGGCCCACCGAGCTCCAACCTCTCGCTATTAATAATTGCCCTCTCCGATCATAAGCTATTAGACTTATCACATTTTAATCGGGATAACTATTTGGGAAGTCCTAAACTTTTTCATTTTCTGTAACCAAGTCCTATACCTTTGAAAATTCCCACTTAAGTCCTATTTCTTTATTAGTTACATCAAACAGGGCCTAAACTTTGTTTCCGTCAAGTCTTTCTGTTAAATCTAACTTTTGTAAGAAGAATAGTTATAATTTAGTCCCTCAAACTTTTGATTTAAAGTAAAAAGCTCTCTAAAAAGAAAAATAAAAATAAAAATACCATAAAATTTTATTTTGAAAAAAATATATTCAAATTAAAAACATAAATCACAAAAATTTTAAAATCTTTAAAACATAAATCCTAAAATTTCAAAACCCTAAACCATAAAATTTAGAATTTTCGAATTTAGGAATTTAAATTTTTAGAGTTTAAGGTTTGGAATTTAGGATTTAGTATTTTAGGATTTTAGATTTAGGGTTTTAGGTTTTGAGTTTTAGGTTATAGGGTTTATGATTTAGAATTTAAGATTTTAGTATTTAGGGTTATAGGATTAAAAATTTTAGGATTTAGGGTTTTAAATTTTTAAAATTTAAATTTTAAAGTTTATAATTTTGATTTTAAATTGTTTAAGGTTTAGAATTTAGCATTTTAGGATTCAAAATTTTAGAATTTTAGAATTATGTTTTAAAGATTTCAAATTTCTTGTGATTTATGTTTTTAATTTTAATATTTGTTTTAAAAAATAAAAGTTTTATGGTATTTTTAATTTTTTTTTTGTTTAGGGAGATTTTTACTTTAAATCAAAAGTTTGAGGGACTAAAATGTAGCTAATCCTCTTACAAAAGTTAAATTTAATGGAAGGACTTGACAGAAATAAGGTTTAGGAGTTGTTTGATGTAACTAATAAAGGAATAGGACTTAAGTAGGGGTTTTAAAAGGTATAGGACTTAGTTGTAGAAAATAAAAAAATTTAGGACTTGCCAAGTAGTTATCCCCATTTTAATCCTTCCCCATGAGTAGCATGATCATCTTCATCCCATTCTTTAAAAAGCTGAAAATACTCACTTAACCACAATTCTCCTTTTTGAATACTATCAATCATGGCAACCCTTCATTCAAAAGTAACCACGATGTAGTCGCTCTTCGGATTTTGACGTTCACCTCCGCACTAGCTGATTCTTTAAAAATTTCAGTATCTTTGGTTCATAAAAAAATCATTTTCATAAGCTTACTCACAAGAATCACACCCAGAAAGCCGTGTGCTTTGGAAGAAGCCTGATTCTGGGAAATTCCCTCCCTTAGCACACCAAATGCACACACCTTTTAGTTTATCCAAGCACTCCTTATTGGGTGTGAAGAAGATATTTTGCAATTGCAACACTCCTTTGCATAGTTTGGTGGTCTGATTGGAGGAGGATGTAGCACTTCCAATAGCCTGAGCGAAAATTAGCCCCTCTCTTACACCGGAGACTTTAACTACCTTCTAGATATGCTTATGTGGGCATTCCTTCCCTCATACCTTCCTACTCCTTGCCACTTTAGCATTCAACATAGCATTACCATTTTTGTTGATCTTCTCAATTATTTCACTCACATTACCACATTTTTCAAACCTAACAATTCCATATCGGATACCATTCCAGGTTAGTTAACTAGGAATATAAATATCCATCACTATGCCGAACTTCGACATCTCTCTGCAGATGTCTGATGAAGCTCATCTAGAAGGGCTATTTTCAATATAGACAAGAGACACTATGGCTTCCTCCACACCTTTATGAATATACTCCCTAGACCACTTGAAGAAAAAACATGGGTCTCAAGTGTTGACATGCTACTGTTCCTTGTCCATGCTCTGACCCTTCTTAACCTGAGTTTTTCCTCGCCCATGCCGCTTGATGAGAGCCTCTGTGAAAGCTTAACATGTTGCTTTACCTTGGACAGTAGTTGAACCCAAGTAAACATGACCCAATAGGTTTTTTGATCAAAACTTTCCTCTTACTACTCTGTCTTACCGCGGCTGCTGGCACAGAGTTAGCCGATGGTTATTCCCCAGATACCGTCATTGCTTCTTCTCCGGGAAAAGAAGTTATAGGGAGGTGCTCTAACCAATTGAACTACGATCCCCCAAAACAAAAAGAAATAAATGTATAGCAATTTTTCGAATTTCATTTAAACTCTTTCCCCCTTTTGAGGATCCGCTATAATAATGAGAAAAATTTTTGCCTATGTGGACAAATCGACGAATAATATCAGAATCCGATGAATCGGCCCAATTCGCCTTACTAATAGGAAGTCCTGTTGTCTTACAAAATTTCATTTTTGCCAAGGACTGGAAAGAGAGGGATTCGAACCCTCGGTAAACAAAAGTCTACATAGCAATTCCAATATTAGGCCTTCAACCACTCGGCCATCTCTTCTACACAATGATTATGGGCCAGAAAGCGAGTGAATCGCGAGTCATTTCGTAATTAAACATGGTTAACTTGAAGTAGTTTTCGAATGCATAACATCCTCAAAATTTCCCAAGAAACCATGGGAGTGAAGATAAAACAGAGTGAAAACGTCCTGTGTTAATTTGTAGTAAGAGCAGTGATAATACAGTGTAGAGCCTACTCCTTAATAGTGGACAAGATAATTTTTGCACTTACTTTATTTGAAGTTATTTTTAATCCCCCATTGTATCCTCTTGTGCCATGAAATTAATGGTGGTCATAGATGCATGAAGAATATTGTAAACCTTACCGCAACATTGCTTTTTATTTTTTTGATGGAACAAAGACTTTTTTGAATAAGAGCAAAACACAGGACAAAGAGATGTCATCAGATCGATGACTGCAGTTTGCAGGTCCATATACAGCCTGCTGTCAAAAACAAAAGAAACCACAAGCACAAACATTACATGAATTTAAGTTTACAGGAAGGACCATTCCATGCAAGAAGACTCTCCGCACAAATAATTATAGCCGATTGATCATAGGGGAAACTGGGTGGAGTAGCCTTGAACCGAAGTAGAGCTCTAAACAAAACCGTCTCAAAAATCCTCCCCCAATCCACTGCTTTAGACTCGAAGACTAGCTTATTGCATAGCAACCAGATATTCCAAACAAATACATAGAATAAGACCATCTAAGGGGCAAGCCGTTCTCGATCCAGCTAATCTTATCCATTGAAAAAATGAATCATCAAAAGATTTTGGCATACACCAGGTAGCCCCCCACCACTGGCATATCTTGTTCCAAGCACACCAAACAAAACTGCAATGACCAAATAGATGATCCCTACATTCGACCACCTCCCCACCAAAGGAGCATAGGGCAATATCACTAGAGATTAAATTATTCCTGAGCAAAACAAACCTCACAACAGTCCCATGATTCAGAGCCATCCACAAAATGCATTCCACCTTTATAAGAGCACATCCCAGCCACACCCACGGTAAGCCAGTGCATCTAAGAAAACTTTTACAAATAAACATATAACCTGATTTCACTCTATACAAATCCTCTTCCTCTTCAGTCCACCTCTACCTATCCCTCTCAGTAGAATTAAAAACCACACAGCTCCGATTGAAATTCCACGTAATTCACCCATCCTCCATACACATCACATTCGCAACAGAAACAAACTTACTATTAGAAACCAATGAGCTTATAGCTCATTGGCACTCTTGTATCAAAAGCATAAGAGGGGTGAGGTCTCGGGTTCGAGTCTCACCTTCCTCGACTAGTATAAAAAAAAAAACCGAGGAAATAGATCCATCATTAACACAGCATCCTTGCACCACCTATCAGTCCAAAATTTAAACGTTATACCATTCTTAACCTCCATCAAAACACAGTTGCTCAGCCCCACGATACCTCCACAAATTACCACCCCAGACCTAACAATACTACGCTAGACATCAGAGGAACACTCCTCATTAAAAACAGACCAGGAAGAAATAGAGTCCCTCCTGTATATCAAGCAAACAATACGGGACTGAACAAGGGCTTCTGAAGAAAGAGGATTGAGATTGATTAATTTCCAAAGCCATTTAAACAGCAAGCAAAACACAGTTGCTCAGCCCCACGATACCTCCATAAATTACCACCCCAGACCTAACAATACTACGCTAGACATCAGAGGAACACTCCTCATTAAAAACAAACCAGGAAGAAAAAGAGTCCTTCCTATATATCAAGCTAACAATACGGGACTGAACAAGGGCTTCTGAAAAAAGAGGATTGAGATTGATATATTTCCAAAGCCATTTAAACAGCAAGCAAAACACTTTTTTTCATAAGGATATCTTCAATTCCCATCCCACCCTGATCCTTTGGCTTTGCGATTTTATTCCACACAACCAAGCACATCTTCCTTTTCTCCTCACTTCCACACCTAAGGAAATTTCTTTAAAGACTAAAAATTTTCTTTGCCACACCACATGGGATTTTGAACACGGACAAACAGTAAGGTTAAACAGGACTGCTCTAATCATCGTCACTCTTTCCCCAAGAGATAGGAATTTTCTACTTCTGATTCTTGCAATCATTGGGTCCCAAGCCTTAATTCGCTACATATTCATTCCAAACTGCAGGCCCAAATAAGTTATAGGCAAATGCTCAACCTTACTCGAGAGCATACCTACTAAATGGCTCAACCTTTGATTAGACATATTAATCCCCACCAAACTGTTTATATGAAAATTGATGCTTAGCACAATCACCATCTCAAAACATCTCAGAAATCGTTTCAGATTAATCAAAGAAGACTCCTCATTCGGGCAAAAAAAATTGAGTATCATTTGCAAATTGAAATAATGAACCCGTCACATTGCTCACACTTAATTCTTGGATAAGTCCCTTTCTTACAGTCTGATTAAACAAACAAGTAAGGCCTCTGTGAACACCCAAATTTGACCCTTGAATATTGTACTAAATTGGATTTTAAACATGTTTGAACTTAGGATTAATGAGAAAATTTGATCTTAGGTTGAGGCATAATAAGGATTAATTTGGTAGAATTAATGTATTTTGGTGATTTAAACCTATATGTAATTGAACTCTGGGATTAATGAGATGATTTAATCTTATGATAAAATATACATTAAGGTTTATTAAGCTAAAATATGTGTTATTTCTTTATTTGGGCTTTCTTATTTAATTTCAATCCAATCAAGATGAGATGATTTAGTTTTGGATTATGAATAAAATTAGAGGCCCAAGTTAATGAAATGAGAATTCTCCAGAGTTTAATTAGCCCAATGACACATTTCTTGCAGGTTAATTTTAGCTCTGATTTTCGTGGAAAATTAGAGTTAGATCATCAATTAATTAGATTTAGACCTGGCAAATCGTGTTGTCGTGTCGGGTTCGTATCGGGTTGAACAGGTAAACGGGTTCTAATTCTTCAACCCGACCCGACCCATTTAATAATCGTGTCGTGTCATGTCCAACCCGTTTATTATCGTGTCGGGTTCGGGTTGACCCGCGGGTTACCTATTAAGTCTAGCAAGCCTAAAAATCATAATGAAGTTTTTCTATTTTGCACAAATCGTTATATCTTTTAAGCAAATAGTCATATAATTAGATTTTCTCATATATTAAATAAAATTATAAATTATAGAATCATAATATAATAATATTTGAAAGCATTTATAGAAATATTTGGTGATAATTTTATTAACTTGAACTATAAATATTAAATAAGTCTTATATTAAATCATAATATTAAATAAGTCTTATATTAAATAAAATTATAAATTATAGAATCATAATATAATAATATTTGAAAGCATTTATTGAAATATTTGGTGATAATTTTATTAACTTGAACTATAAATATTAAATAAGTCTTATATTAAATCAGTAAAATATCTATACTCCAAATATAATCGGGTCATAAACAGGTACCCATCGGGTTGGCAGGTCAACCCGCGACCTGACCTGATAATTTTTGTGTCCTGTCGGGTCTACCCATTTAACTGAACGGGTTGAAAATCTCTAGCCTATACCAGCTAATTTCGTGTCAGGTTCGTGTCAGGTTGTCGTGTCAATACCCGTTTTGCCAGGTCTAATTAGATTATGTGTTTTTGGTTTGATTTTGCTCAAAATGGGTGTCAATGTGTAATCAATCAATTACAGAATGATTTAGGGGAGTAATAATCAAGTAATTGAGTGATTCTGGGTTGATTAGGAGTTGATTACGCAGTAGGATCAAATCAGGGCTGAATTAGGGGGATTGGGGGTTCGAAAATGGGAAGAACGGGTGACACAAAGACAGCCGGGCGGTCATCTCGCGACGACCGCCAGGTGCCGGCAGACATCCACATATGACCGCCGGCAATGGCGGTCATCACTTCCCAGATTCGCCCAAATCTCCGATTTTGTTTCTAATTTCGATCCTACTCGGTTTTGGACCAGATGTTCGGGCATATTCTTCACCCTTAAGCAGGTCCACGCCCCTAGGCTTCCCAGAACACTATAAATAGGACCCCTCACACACATTCCAGGGGATCAATCTCTCATTACACACACCCCCCATAAGTTTTGTTTGCTTGGAGAAACTCTACTTCTCCAAGCCTAGAAACGCTTATAGGGCAGAAACTCTGGAGGAATTTTATGGGAAAGCATCAAGAAGGAAGCCAGCAAGAGAACATCAAGAGGGTGAAGCAATCAAAAGCAATCCGGGACCAAGAGGGTGGGAAATCCGAATAGAAAGACCTGATGCAAGCAGCCTCAGAAAATAATCATATCTCGGGTTCTAGAAGTCGGATTGGCGTGATCTTAGACTCTCTGGATAGCTAAGAGGAAGAGCTACAACTTTGCTTTTAAGACCAGAAGCTGAATCGGCCGTTTGCATTATCCAAAATCAAGTGGAAGACGACCATAGATTCAATCCAACAATCGAGATAAGTGTTCTACCCATTTTAATTGCGCACGCTATTGATTAATACTTGCTGGTGATTTGATGCTGCTTTTGTTGATTATGTGATTGCTGTGATGCCATGACAAGAACTACGTGGGCTTTGAACCCGGTCGCCGGGGTACGTAGGTGGTCTCTAGTGGTGGAGACTCAAGCCCAATTTTTTTTCCCTTTTTATTCCGAACCTTCTTCTCCTTCCCCTCCAATTCAATTTTGTTATTTTTATGTTATTTGTTTCCACACTTGCACACCTTCACAAGGCACACTTGTACTCTTCAATTGCACAAGATTTCGACCCAACATGGAAGGGTGCCTAACACCTTCCCATCCATGACGAACCCCCGATCCAAAGTCTTTGGTTCGCCATGACCATGTTGCCTAAGGGAATCATTTGAAGGTTTTTCCCAAGTTTTTTCCTTAATAAAATTTGGGTGGCGACTCCAATGTCATGGGATTGACCCGAGGGAGATGGTGAAGGAATAGGTGAATAGGCCCAAGTGATTTTGAGTTGGGT